AGAAAAATTAAAAGTTATTAGATTTTCACATTTTTTTCTTTAAATTAAAAATTTATCTAAATAAAGGGAAGGATTTTCTTTTTTTTTTTTTTTACTTTCTTTTATTCTCGTTTTATTTCCTTCCATTCTCCTTAATCCAAACAAAGGCTTAGTGTGTGTGTGTGTGTGTGTGTGTATATATTAAATTTAAATTAGTCCTTTCAAATTAAAATTGTTGATTTTATTTTTTTTATTTTATAATTTAATTTAAATATAAAATAATAGTGTTAATATTATTTTGAATAAATTTTAATATGATAAATGTTAAATAAAAGTAAAAAATGTCTTTATTGATTATTTGTTCGTTTTATTTAATTATCAATATTTTTATAATCAAATAAATTATTAGGAATAAAAAAGGGATAATTATATAAATCATAAAGTAAATAAATATTTGTTATTTTATTTTAAGATGTATAAATATATTAATTTTTAAAAAATAATTATTATATAGGAATAAAAATAATCATATTAAAGCAAATATAAATAATAATAATAAAATATATAATCAATTTATTTATTAAATAAAAAATTACAAAAATAGAAAATAGATACATAATTAATATATATATATAATAAGAGTCTGAATAATTAAATAAAAATATTATTTTGTTAAGTTTAATATGAATAAATATGTTATAATTAATTTTTAAAAAATTATTATTTGAAATAAAAATAATTTTATTAATTTTAGTTATTGATTAAATTTATAATTACCAAATATATTATAAAATTGACTATATATAATTTTAAATTTAATGTCTTTAATAAATTTTTTTATTTCAATTTACTTCACTACTACCACTGCTTTTAAATCTAAATATATAGTCTACTAATGATTTTAATCTCATAATTACAATAATTAATATCATTATTATAATAATTAATCTCACCACCAATGATATTTTCAATCTCAACAAAATCAAATTTACCTTTTTATTCAAAAAGACCTTAAGCCTATAAAATTGGAGCTGGATGAGGATCTTGAAATTATTATAGAATAAAGTTAAGAACTAATCACTTCACATGTTGGCTGTGACACAAGTAGAATGGTAAAAACGATCTCCAATTCTGGGAAATTTTTTTATTGTAAAGACGACAATGTTTAAGGACAAATCAGAATTAGGTTCCTTGGCATACTTAAATTTGTTGTTTTTTTTTTCTTTTGTTTTGCCGTTATGCCTAGATAAATATTAATAAAAGAAAAAAATATTATTATTATTATTATTACTAGTTTAAGTAATAAAGCCAGCAATTGACAAAAAAATAAAAAAGCTGCCAATGAGTTTGGGTTTAATGGTAAAGAGAAAATTTAAAAATTTTAAAGTTTTATTACGTGTGAATTTAATTTAATTTTATGTTAAATTTATTTAATTTTATTCAAGTTTATTAGCTGATTTATTTATTTATTTAATAATTTTTTATATGTAAATATAATAATTAATTATAAATATAACTTCTTTTTATTTATAATTTCATGAAAATAAAAGAGATACTATAATATATTTATTTAATATTCATTGTCAATAGGGGCGAATCGTGGCGGAAGCCTGAGGGGTCTTTTTAACTCCTCTAAAATTTTGACCATCCTTTTTGTGTATATATATTACATAAATTTAAATTAGTCTTTTTAAAATTAAAATTATTGATTTTATTTATTGATTTTTTGGTTTTATAATTTAATTTTATGAATTACAATTTAAGAGGGATTAAAATTATATTGTTATTTTTTTATTTATTACACTTACCTATCATTATTATAAATCTTTAAAATTAAAGATTCATCATAAATTTTAAATAACAATCTTATGAACTGAATAAAAATTAAATTATTTTAAAAATTAGAAGTTAAATTAATCTTTTAGCCTTACTAATAAGATTTCAAACTTTCAATCAAATATCAAATATATTTTTTCTTTCTTTTCTTTATAACTTACTATAATTACTCTTTTCGGTAAGATTTTTCACTTTTAATTTTACTTTAAATTGTCTTGTAAATTTTTAAACAGATTGTCATGACTTTAAGTCTTGAATTGATCCCACTCAACTCAATGGTTTATATATATATATATATATATGTTTCAATTAATGCTTTAATTATTTTAAAATTAATGGAAACAGTAAAAATGAAAGTTATAAAATTTAATTTCATAAAATTAGGTTTTTTATAATTAATTTATCATGAATTTTTAAATAAATTTTTTTAAAAAATTCAAACTAAAATAAATAAATCTAACGCCCATCTAAATCTACCACTATTTTAATATATCATTTTAGATAATTTATCTAAATTTAAAAAATAATAAATCAAACACATATATGAATCTAAGATTTTTAAATATAAACGATCATCAGAAAAAGAAAACTTAGTACAATAATAAATTTAAGTAAAAAGTTTTTTTGTTCTAAGGGAAGACCAAATTTTTAGTATTTATATATTTTTCATTCCTTTATCTTTTGTTCCTTTTCTTTCCTTCTGTTCATTCGTTCTCTGCTCTAAGGAGCTAAAGCATTTTCTTTAGAATGGTTTTAGGTGGATTAGGGTAGAGAAATTCATCTTTAAATATGCCTCTTTATTTTTGACTTCTAAAGGTCAAATCTTTTCTTTTGCTTTGGAGATTTGGGAGAGAGATTTTGTGGGTTTGGGTTCAAAAAAATGCTCCAATTATAGTCAAAGCAGAGGCCTATGACGCGCATAAGGGTTCAGATATTATTTCTTTTCTTTTTAATTTATATTAGTTGATTAAGTTTTTCGTAATTAAAACATAAGTGAATATGCAAATAGAAGTTGGTGTTCTTGATTGAAACTTTATAAATGTTCTTGTCTGGGTTGTTTTTGTTTTTATCAGACTTTTGTCTTTCCAAGTAATAGCGTTGTTTAGATAAAAGAAACTGTTTAAATGCGTGCTGAGTTAGGCTAGTTGTATTTATTTATATTTGTTTTCAATTTTTTGAGTGATTGCATGAATTTCTTGATTTGCTCAATTTTCTTGGTAACCAAACAAGGGAAAGTAGGGTTAGGACAGCAAAATGCCCTTTCATTGAAATGATAAAAAAAAAAAAAAAGGACAGAGAAAAAAGCCTCGTGATACAAGCTCAATGGAGTAAAGAAGAGAAATTAGTTTCTGCAATATGCAAGAAGCAGGTGAAAGTGAACAAGTAGAGAAGGTAGAGGAAGAGAGAGAAGAAGAGAAATAGGAAGAAATCCATTGCTTCGATTTCACGACCAAAATTGTATTCAACAACCATGCATGCCTTACAATCATTGTGACCTCCCTCAAATCTCTTCGGCAAAACATGACTCACCAACAAACATAACTAACCCAGAAATTAGTAGCTACAAACACTAATTCTAACTTAACTAACATTAACTGACTTTTAAACTAATTATTATTTATTGGACTGGGCCACTCAGCTAACTTCAATGGTCCACTGAGCCCAACTCCTTGCTTGCAATTTCGACTCATAACAGTACATCCTTTCCGGAAAAGATCCTTACCCTCAGGGATCAAAGGATAAAACCCACTTCTGCAACTCATATAAAACTTTCCAAGTAACAACCTCATGCGAGCAATACTCCACTGCACCAGCACTTCTGTCAACAGCCAACCCCCATGATGAACAATTTCCTTGAACAAATTTAAGTCATTCTGCTCAACATCAGTGCACGCGAGGTGACCTACACTTCTAGCATTGAAGTTTGGCCCATTTTCCTTTAATTGAATAGGCACTTTTATTGTGCCAGCTAACATTGCCTTCCGTGATGGTTCACTTCCTTTTGATGTAGCTATATGTAGAGCTGTGCTTCCATTGTTGTCTGACTCTTTAAAATCTAATCCCCTTTTTAGTATCTGATGCAACAAGTCCTCTCCTCTGAGTGTGGCAACGCAAAAATTGAGAGTTAGGTCCATTCTCCCATCTCCAACATTTGTTGGAAGGAGTTGTGGCATATAAAAAGGAACTCTTATCTTCCCACAGAGATCACCTGTTTTTGCCTCACAAACAGTCTGTTCCACTCCATTTTTAAGAACCAATAAATCTGCAGCGCCAATGACAAGGATGTGGAAGTCTGTAGGTGTTTCATTTAGTATGACGACATCTGCTTTTGGAGGAAAATATTCAGCTTTCTTCCCTGAAACTAGCTGAAGAAATAAGTCATTAGAAACCCCATGAAGCCAGTGCGCCTTATCCATAAGAGAGTAGAAAAAGTAATGACCAACAGATGACCAGTAAACGATCATAGGGCTTGGAATGGCAACATTATCATAGATGATTGGCATTTTGACACATTTAGACCTATAAGATTGCACACAACCGTTAACAGTGAATGTAAAACCAGATATGTGCTCATCCTTATGATCCTTCAAAGTTATGACGACCAACCAAGAGCATTTAAAATCTTCCATATCAGTTCCAATCTTATCAATGGTCTCTGGATTACCAAAAAATCTAGAATGTACATAACCAGTATAACCAGAATGCTCATCCTGTACTTGAAAGTAAAATCTTATATCAACAAGAATGTTCTTCTCATCAAGGAAGTTGTCAAGATTTTCACCATTCACAATCAGTGCACATGAAACAGAAAGAATAATTGAGTAATAGGCAGTCTTGTATGGGTAATGTGGTGACAACGAGTATTTGGATAGATCTTTTTCCTCTTCAGGTGTTTTAATCAAATATATCATTTTTCTTAAAGCTGTTTGAAGCCTCATCTCCTTAAATATATTTAGCAGATCAACAAGGTAGGATTTCCCACAAAAGTGATATTTTAGAATCATGTAAATATGATTGAGAAGTATAACACCATCAGTTTAAGCAATCAAACCAACCTTGGAAACTATGTTACCACAAGGAACATCCTTAATAGTTTTCAGCTTTTTTTCCCATCCTAATAACAGCCCGTCTTTGTACACCCTCAACGGACAAGTCTTTCTTTTCACCATGGGCATAGCTCAGACTTATGATCCTGGCCTTTCAAAAGCAGAAATCATTTTTGAAACATACACTATTAGAGAACCCTCATGATTACCGTTGCTGCTAACATTGGTATGTATACCATCAAAAGGACCCTCAAACAAGTTCTCAACACAATGTTTCTGAGCCTTGCCTATCACGTCCTTCTCATCAAGCTTCATAGTGGTACCTAGCCTATGCAACGTTGGCCCAAGCTTATCCCCCATTTCTGCCTTATCAACTCCAAACTTTAAGGTATACATTCTAGCAAAATGGGTCGGTGTAAATGCCCAACTGTGCAATCTAACAAAGGAGGCAGTTGTTCCCTTCCCATGGTAGACTGGATCATCACCAAGAAGAGAATCTTCATAAGTGGCCCCGATGAGATTAGCATTTTCAATTATTCTCGGAAATGTTTGATAAGATCCTTCTCCATCAAACTGGAGCTCAAAGTAGCGCAAATCCCTCTTGTTAACAGTCAAAGCAGGCCTAATCCTTTCTTCAAGAACCTGACAGGAGTTGGTCTCTGTTTGTACACGTACACCTCCAACACAGTCATCAACCACAAAGGTACCATCAACAATACGAATAGCAGCTGTATCCTCTGATAAAAATCAACATGCTCAAGGAATTCAACAAGTCCTTGCGCAATGATATCAGCATCCTTGCCTTTTAGTCGCATTTACCAAAAGTGGTATGGATCAAGGGAAACAACAAGCTTATTCCCATCCGCAAACATAATTGAATAAGCCTTTTCAAGCTTCCCACACATATTAACAGACATTAACAAGAAGGTTTAACCAAACTCTTATAGTATACCACCCCAAGAGACTCAAACATATTCTTTTCAACAAAAAACTGTATATTCCTCTATAAGTAAGGACAAGGTGATTGCTTAATTTGTAATGCTTGCAAGTGCACAAATCATATTAAAGTAAAAGTAGTGATGAAAGTAGAGTATCATCCCACAAGGATTATAAAATTTAATTGTTTCGTGGATTCAATTGTCAAAGTTGATAAATTAATCCCTTATATCTAAACTAATGAAACTTTGATTGATTTGCAAGGAAAAGTAAAGAAAGATAGAAAGAAAGGTTATGTAGTCCTAGATCTACTTAACCAACTGTCACTTGGCAATTATTTGATTTTGGCTGAATAGACTAGATCTAAAAGCAAAGATTACAACTTGAATAAAAGAAAGAATTATGATTGCCGAATTGAATAAAAGTATAAGAGAAAGAATGGTTGAAGAAATCTTTCATAAACTGAAACTTGTATTGAATTTAAAAGCAATGGTTGAATACCATAGGCAATAAAAGAACTTGAAACTGAAACAATGCTTTAAGAGAAATAGATCTTGAAAATCGAAAAAAGAAAGAAAATTTTGAAACACTAGATCTTAAATAAAAGAATAATTGTATTAAAAGAAAATTTAAGAAAACAAAGTTTTTTTAATGGTTAATCTATCACCTTAGCCTAATAGAAAAAAAAAAAAAACTAAGAGGAAAACTAGAAACTTAGAGAAACTAGAAAGTAATTGAAAAGAGAAGAGAAGAGCAGAATGGAATATGAGGTGTGTTGAATCAATGACTAGTCTCCCTATTTATAATGGAGGTTTTGGCTAAAGGCGGATATAAGGCTTACAAGTTCACTTTTATCAAAACACTAAAGCTAAAAGTTATCTTGATTTTCAAATGTCATAGCTAAATGGTGCTTCTTCCTTCTTGAATTATCTTGGCCAATCATGCCACCTTGGGAACTTATCTTAGATGTTGGATCATAGTTAGCTCATCTTGATCTTGAATTCATAATGTATTCGGCTAGGCTTTGACTTCCAAGACAAAGTATTTGATTTTCATCTAAATTCTTTAATTTTTATCTTGCATAATCCTTCTTCAATCATAACTTTTTGAATGGTGATCAAAAGAGTCATTCTTACACAAAAACTCTATTGGTCGATTGTGATAGCGTCCTTATTTGATTGAAACTCTTCAATTATCACACATGAGCATGAAGTCCTCCTGAACATGATGTAGCCAAACCAATGTAGGTGTCTTTATGGCATCAAAACTCTTATTTGAAGTCAAATTTAGTAGTTCTACTCCAAGTCAAATTCAATTCCATCCTTATATGCTTGGTCGAAAATTACAAAAATAATGCTTGTTTTGATTCTTGCATGGTTTCTTGCATGAAAATGATAAAAATCCTACTCTAGGTAGAAAAACCTAAAAATCAAGAAAACAAACATTAAATACACCAAATTCAATAAAATTTTAAAAAACCAAATTGAATTTGCAAAACACTATATTTTAAAGTGCTATCACACATCCACTTTTAAATCTTTGCTTATTTTCAAGCAAAATTCTTAAATCAACATCACTATAAATCAATATACATGCTCACAAAGTCAAAAATTATATAAATTTTCAATCATGCACTATAGCTAATACAAAGATAATTACAAACATAGATTTACAAGAAACTTATCAAAAAAAGTAAGCTTTCAATATCATATATCTTTATGCATATGAAATTACTCCATCTCTATTCCATACACATAATTTAAGCAAAAAGAATGCAAAATACATCATCACATATCAAAGTAAAGATAGAATAAACTTCATATGTCAACTTTTCTTTTCTCTTTCTACTAATGTTAGACTTGCATGCTTGATTTAAGATCAAAAGGTCATTAATACTTGTAATGTAAGGCTTGGGTTAAGGTAGGAAAAATGCAATTTTAGGCTCATAAATCCTTAGCTTACTTTCTTTCAACTTCATAAACTAAAGATTGAAATTTTAAGAATTTTATTGAATTTTGAGGCATCACTTTGTTTTGGCAAATTTTTTTTTTTATAGCCAATTTTAGCTTTAGCCATTTTCTTTTGTTGTTTCTTTTCTTTTTCTTTTTTAATTCCTTATGCCTCTCTTCCTCCCAAATACATAAATATGTCTATAACACATGTAAGCACATTGGGTTAGGGTAAAACAATAAAAGGGATAATATAAAAAAAAAGTCTCTTGGATTTTATTGTGGCTATAATAAACAAAGAAAAGGGCATATATAAGGCTAAAAAATAAGGGTACTAAGGATGCAGCATAAAAGGTTAGCTTGAAAAGCTCAAACTAGCCAAAAAATACCTGGATCATCTCTTGAATCAAGTACAATATAAAATTTCACCTCTAGAGTTGAGTAGGTAAATTCTAAAGTAATATTCTTATTTTTAAATCTCTATGCAACTTATTATATCACAAACTTTTTACCAAATTAATGGATTTCATAAATCAAGAATAGAATCATACACGTAAAAACCATATTCTAAAGAAAACATGTTCTCACAAACTTGTTTCATGCTTCACTACATTTATACTTCTCTAAATATCATGCATAAATCAATCTTGAACAATTCATACAACAGTCAACTAAGCTTGCATAATAAAGAATTTAGCATGCTAATTTGGTTTGAACATTAAGCAAAAAATAAGTAAATTTTTTTTTAAAAACGAGTTAAGTTAAAAAAGCATTCTTTTCCCCCATACTTATTTTACACCATATTTAGAATCTTTAGGAAAAAGAAATACTCCCCTAGAATTTGCTTCAAGGCCAAAAATATCTTATGTTCTTTATAAGGTATTATCTTGTATCTATTCCTGTAAAACACTTGAAACACAAAAACAATCAAAGTATACGTGTCTTAAGAATAAACAAAAATAAAAAAAATAGATGCACAACCATTGAAGTAAAACTTGGGTTGTCTTCCAAGTAATGTTGGTTTTGGTCAAGCTTGACTATACCTAATTTCTAAAATCATCTCATCCCTTCAAGAGGGAGTTTACCTTGTTACATCCTTCTTTGTGAAATCACACGAATTGAAGTAGATCTAAGAGGTGTAGTAACTTTTCTTGCAAGGATAACATATGTTGTACTTGAATTCAAAATGGGAGCTTTGGTTTTGGGTTAGAAAATTCAATTATAGCATTTTAAGGGCTAGGGTTTAAGCTAAATGGCTTTGTGACACTGGGTTAGTAGGTTTAGAAATCAAGTTCGACTCCTTAAGGTTACCCTTTCCTTAACTTTTGTTATTGAGTGGGCATCATCCTTATCTCTAAGGATACCATGTCTACTAGTTACAAATTGCATTTTCTTATCCTTAGATTTTAGAGTAAGTCACAATTATACACATCAATTAATGCTTTAATGTAAATAAGAAAAGTCTACCTAAAAAGAGAGGGACCCCATTATCCTCAATATCTAAAACCATAAAATCTATAAGAAAATCATACTTATTGACTTTTACTAGAACATTCTCCAACATTCCTTATGGTTTCTTATTAGATCTATTAGCAAATTTGAAAGTGAATGTTGAAGGCTTTAACATGCCATAACGTAGCTACATAAAAACATTCATAGGCATAAGGTTAATACTAAACCCTATATCATAAAAAGTTTCATCAAAATTTAAATGACCAATTTTACAAGAGATAGTGAAAGTCCCTGGATCTTTTTGCTTTTTCAAAAAGAATTGTCAAAATTCAAAACTACAATCTTCAACAAAACTAGCATTCTTTAACTTTTTGAGTAACACTTTCTAAATAGGCTTTAACTTTTGTGGGGTTACTTCAAAAGCTTTTTTTCGAGTGGTTCATTCTCAGTATTTTAATTTCTTGAGTCTTTTCTTGTTCCTCAACTTCCTCCATTTTAGGTTGAATACTTTTTAAAAGTGCTCTTCTTACTTGCATTAACATCTTTCTTTTTTTGACTAAACTTTTAATGAACTCTTTAAGATCCTCCTCATACTCTTCAGGGTTTGCTTTAATTGCAAAATTCTCTCTTTCCTTTTCATAGGGCTTAATATTTTTAGAGGTTTCTAATGCCATTTGATTAAAGCTTCCCAAGATCTCCCTACTATACCTCAACAGTTCTTTATTCTCTATTAGATCATCTCTCCTAACAAAGTCCACCTCAGGGTGCTTAACAGAGTTAGGAAGGTTAACCACTATAGGCTTATCCATAATAGCATCATTATCAAAGTCATACCCTCTTTCATCACCATAAGAAAATGATATAGCATGCTTCAATACCTTATTTTTTAAGGTTTGACTTAGTATTACTGGGCAAGGTTCATACTAGTCAGTTGGCCATGGCTTAAGCAAGTTGACCTTTTTGGTTTTCAAGGTTTTTTTATTGATACAGCTTGGCTTTGGATGTTTGCATTATTTGCTTGCATCAATTAGTTCAACATATCCTCAAAACTGGTTTTCTTTTCATGGGATGGGTTATAAGGTTATAGGTTAGAGCAAAATTTGTTGTTTTGATTGGTGGTTTAGGGGTTGGATTGATTCTAAGAAAAGTTATGATGGTTTTACCAGCTTGAGTTATATATGTAGCTGTATGGGTTATTGGTAGGTTTAGATTGTTGGGAGTACTGAATTGTCTTTATCCTAAATTGAAATTTATCTCTAGAATGAGGTCCATCACATATTTCACAAGATACAAAGGGATTTTAAATGGCATGAATGATTTGGGATGGGGTTCCTCGGGTTTCTATCTTTTTAGTTAGGGTTGCCAACTATGAATTAATGGAAATAAAGGCATCTAACTCATAAACACTAGCAGATTTTTTATGTACCTTACTCTTTATTCCCCATTGATAATTGTTGGCCATCATTTCCTTTATCAACTTATGACTCTCCTTAAGAGTCTTATTCATTATGTCTCCTTACTTCTAACAACTAAAACCAAGGTAGTTCTCATGGATGAAATGAGACCATTGTAGAATATTTAAATCTGTAACCATTAGAGAATACCATGATATGGGCATTTCCTTAATAGCTTTTTGAATCTCTCATGAGCATTATAGAGATTCTTATTATCCACTTACAAAAAAGTGGTTATTTCATTCCTTAACTTAGCAATCTTGGTAAGTGGAAAAATTTTGCAAGAAATGTGAACCAAATCCTCCCAAGTTGTTATTAATCCTAATGGTAGTGAAGATAGCCAGCTTTTCACCTTGTTCCTAAAAGAAAAAGGAAAAAGCCTTAGTTTTATTACATCATCTAAAACATTATTATACTTAAAAGTATTACATAATTAAAGAAAATTACGTAAGTGAAGGTTAGGATCATCGCTTGGTACATTGCCAAACTATATAAAAGTTTAGACCATTTGTATAATCGAAGAATATTGAAATTATTTACCTATATGGCCAACCTTCAAATGGATGGAGCCATCATTATTTGGGATGGCATAGTCTCTCAAAGTTCTTTGACCTTCGTTGTTTGCATTCATCATTGGTGTAAGTGCAGGTGGTGTTTACTATTTCTTTATATGCCTTAAAGTTTTTTCATTTTCTTGGTTGAATGGAGCTAAGTCAACACTTTTAGATCTACTCATACAAATAAGAAAAGATCAAAATAAATAAAAGCAATAAAAAGTAAATGTTTAGATTACAAAAGAGTAGAGAATCTTTATTGATATTGAATTGAACACCATTATAATCCCCTGGCAACAGTGACAAAAATTTAATTGCTTATTTTTGTAATACCTATAAATGCACAGATCTTAACAAGTAATAATAGTAATAAAAGTAAAGTATCATTCCATGAGGATTATAGAATTTAATTGTTGAATGGATTCAATTACCAAAGTTGATAAACTAATCCTTTATATCTAAATCAGTGAAAACTTTGATTGATTTTCAAAAAATAGTAAAAAAAGATTTCATGCATATTGGATTTTCAAATTTATAATTTCCCAAGTCCAATACGATTTACAATGACTTAACATGGAAGCTAGGCATAGGGTATGTTTCTAAGACAAATGGATATATATGTTTATACATTTTTAAATTAGATTCTATCTCTTTTATTATATTGTTGTTTTGAGACACATACACACATATATATATGCTTATTATAAATTTTCATTATTGATTTTGGTTTAACAAATTCACACCTCCACAAAAACAAAGCATGTGTTTATCACATCTAAGAGCCCAAAAACCTAAAAGAAATAAATCATCATTGGAAAAAAGTTCAAATTGTATAATCATGATAGTCCTTCTTTTCCTGCCATAGGCTCTAATAATAACTTAGGTAAAATCTTCCTTACCAAATAAAAATTGATCCAAGGCATATCGAGCAAGTTTTCAAGTTTACTATTAAGAGTGGATAATTATTTGGAAATAGTGCTTATTGTAGCACTCCAACATTTGATTGAATGGTAGGTGCATGTTAAGATGTTTGTCCTCAAATAAAAAAATCAAATAAAGAAAATAATACGTATCAGTAGTATTCAATTTTTTATTACACTATTTGCAATAAATGCTAACAAGCGTCATGTGTGATCAATTAAATCAAATGGAGCATTGCTAGGGTTTATTTTATGGCTAAAGTATTTGATGTTGTAACACATATCAGGGACTTAAAACTATTATGCATCTTTATTTTTCTTAAATGCACCATATTGAAAGGCAATGCCCAGTGACATGTGCTTTGGACTTTTTTTAATGGAAAAACTCATTAAAGAAAGTATTTATTTACAATGTGATAAATAATATATTCCAAAGTTGATGGTTGTTTATCACAAGGCATGTACCTAGATGTTTTCAATAATGGTTTTTATGTATTTAGAGGTGTGGTTCTCGTTTTTTATTTAGATATAAGAAATAATAAACAACATGAATTGGATGCTTTATCATAAGATGTATGGTGGTTTTGGCTTCATACATCTATATAGCTACCATATATTTTGCAAAATGGTTTAAATATTTTGATCTTCTTGAACCAAAAGATTACTTGATTCCTACATTATTCTAAGTTTGCAGGTATTTAGAAAATCATATGGATAAAGTCTTTGTCTTTATTTTTTTTATTTTTTTAGTGATTCCTTTCCAATTGAATGATTTTGAAGTTCAATAAGAGATTATAATGAGAATGAAACTAATCAAGCATGATAGTTCATTCTTTTTGGTTATGCAGTATTATTAAAGGGTTTAGGGAATGCAATTGTCTTTCTTAAACAAGGCATTTGTTGTTCCTTAGTTCCTATCTTTCAAGGCTACTCATGGTCCTATAGTTTAGTCTAGATTTATGGCTATACCAACTACTAATTCTAACCAAAAACCGTATTTTGGCTTGACCCAGGCTTGTTAATTGTCATCATGAACTTCTTGGTTTCTAATTTTTTATATTTCACAACTTTATTTCATGTCTAGAAATTTTCAACTTGACTTTAAAAGGAAGTCTAAGATTTTATTATGCCCATATTTTTTTATTTTAGGCATCCAACATTCAATATGCAAGGATTTTAGACCTGGTTGTGTATTTGTCTTATATTCCATTGCAAGTTTACTAATTTTTCCTCTCATTTTTCCTTTCTCATATGACTTACAAAAACAAAGCAAAAACTATTAGATGTTTATCTTTTAAATTTATTTGAATTTGAAATATATCTAATCTATTTAAAAGGATTATCTTTATCTTTTTAATATCAATATTGTCTATCACTATTTTTAAGGTATTTGTGGTGTAAGTGGTAATTATGTTTTTGATAGGAAGAATCTATAAATAACCACTCACTAGGTCCCTTATCTATGCAATCATAAATACATGTGGTACCCATCTAGTGTGGTTACTCTAGATTAGAAGACTTGAAGGGTTTTAAGTTCATTTGAAACACTATGGCTAAAGGTATGCTTTCTGATTTCGTTACTTAATCTTTGTGGTTTGTAAACATTTTTTTTATTAATAAGTTTACTTGTGGTATCAGAGCTTTATTTTCTCTACCTAGCCAACTCACTCTAAAGTCATTAATCCAACTTGAAAATGAGCCATATATGGTTTGTTTATTTTTGGTGATTTTTTGTTTTAGTTTTAACAAAAATCCATACTATCTTGTTGCTTTGTGGCTAAAACATTTATCATTTCATTACTGCATGATATTTGTAAAAATACTCATGGCATTGAATTTTTTTTATTGAAGACCCCTTCTCTTTCTTTTAATCAAAGACCTCATTTGTATGTTGTAAATCTCGTGGCTATTTTGTGAGCTATTTGGTTAGTTAAATTTTATTTTATAAATTGGGCTATTAATTTGTTTGATGAGCATTGTGCCTGTTTCATTAAATGATTAATGGATCTTATTTGATTTCGGGTTGTGCTATGAATATTTACATGCCTATATTATTTAGGTTTTTGAATATATGGCTTATTAAGTTTTTAATAATCTTAGAAAGGTATAATTTATTTGAGCCTGAATTATTTTGAAATAAATATTTGATTTATGCCTTTTAGCTTCTTTGGTATATTTGATTTATGGTTTTTAGCTTCTTTGGTATTTTGAAACATAATTGTTTAAGTCTTTTTCTGAAATCAAATGATTGGTTTTATTTATAAAATTTGGGCTAATTTGGACATTGAAGTAAACTAATTAACTCATTTTAATTGGAGCTCAATTTAAGTAAAAAATTAATTTGTATGTCTTAATTTTACTTTGAGCTTGACAATTAATTAAATTATGACGAGTTTACTTGTTTAAATTTAAATTCATTATGATAATGTCATGAAACCATATGTATTATAATAATTGAAGAATAGCCATAACATCCTTAATTATAATAATATAGGTATTAAAGATTTATTTTGATTACATTCTAGTATAATTGACATCAATTCTAATTAATCATAATAATGCCATAGCTTTACCCCACAGGGAAGTTATTATAGTTCTATATTTAATTAGGATGAAAAAGAAATTATTTATTTCTTAATTGGCTCACAAATATTAAGAAATGTTAGTAATTGCTAGTTTCATCATATAGTATTATGTATTTGCCCACAGGTAAACTTTAATGACACTTGATTAATTAGAATTGGTAAATATATGTTTTGCATTAGTAAACATATCATAATGTTATGTGTTGTGCCTCAATTAACAAATTGTTATAATTACGTTTAATTTTGTTTAATTGTGGTTGTTCAACCATTAATTGTTACTGATGAAATATTTGATA